CAGTGCATTGTCTTTTCACTTCTGAACGGTAGTAGGGGTAAGTTCTTGCTGGAAGTTGTCTTTTCCTTTTCAGTACGGTTGAGACAGTTTGGGTCTGACTTGGTACCCCTGTCTCGTTAGACCTGGTCCACGGCCTACTCGGGACCACTTGAGACCCAGTGGGACCAGGCCCGACGGGACAGGACCTTCGGGCCCAGATCTGTTGCCGTCGGTGCATTACTTTGCTGTGCTGAATCTGGGGGATACACGGACAGCAAGGGCATTCCTTTCAAGGGGATCTTGACTGGTCTTACCGCGTGTGATCACATACTGCCCCGCGTCTGACTCGGCGACCATTTGCACCCCTCGAAATCTCCATTGCTGCAGTTAGTCTTCTTCGTCTGATTTATTGTGCTGACACGTCCTCTGTCACGTTAGACAAAAGGGGATCTCCAGCTGATCTGATCGGGCCCGTTCTATAAATCAGACCTCTCTGTTGTTGTTTTTATTTTTATTTTTTATTTCTTCTGCTTCGTGCCACGTTCTCAGTCCAAATGATTCGCCGCTCCGGCTAGGAGTTCTACCTTCTTCTCTGAGTGGTTTTCTGTTTGTTTCTTTGGCATGAACTACCTATGTCCGGTGTTGAGACGTGTGCGCAGACAGCGAAAAGAGAGGAAAGGGAGAGTGAGGGTGTGCTGTTTGAGAGTGTGAGGAGGGGCAAGAAGAATGTTCGTCCAAACGTAAGGAGAGAGCGGACCCCTCTTGAGAGCACTACTGACATTCCTTCCTCCAGCATGGCGGTCATCACATCTGACCAATGGCAGGCCATGCTGGACGCAGCAGACGAGAGTCAGAAACCGTTCTTTCAAAAACTGTATGATGATGCCGTACAGAGGGAAAGGGAGGCGGAGGCAGCAACTAGAGCTACGAGTATAGCTGCGCAGGAGGCCCTCCTACAGGTTCCGGAAGCCAATGCTGACCGGTTCCAGGAGAGGCTAAATGCTGTCGTCGCAGCCTTGGTCCGGCTGCGGAACTTAGAAGATCTCGAGTCCCGTGTGACAACACTTGAGCAGCGGAACCAAGAGTTGCAGGCTAAAGTAAATAGCCTTGAACAGTCCCAATTGTATGCCCCCTGCCCTCCTAACTCTCGATCTGCTGTAACCCAGTCTCTCAGTCCAGCACAGCCCTCATTCCAAGGGCCAGCGGAACTGTGGCAAGTGCAGGAACCGGTGCCAGCTCCTCGAGCGACAGCACCGACAGTTCTGCACTGGTCACAGTCCCAAATGCAGGGACTTCAGCCCAAAACGCCGCAGTTCTTACTTGCGTTCAGTACAGCGGTCCCATGGTGGACAAGCGGGTGGCCACGCTGTCGTCCAAGTACGACGGGAAGGCTGACATCACCTCTTGGATTAGTTCCATGAGGTCATACTTCGAGGTCATGCGGACACCGCAAGAGGACCGAAGTATGATCATGGGGACTAATAGCGAGCCCGCCGTACGCAACCACATTGAGGTCCAAGCTGTTGCTGCAGGCTATGAGCGCATAGACCTGACTGAATGGCTGAAGGTTACCCCTGTCCGCGCTCTTGAAGATCTTCTCCTTGACCGGTATCAGGATAAACACGCTGCGCTCAAGGCTAGGCTGAAGCTTGAGGCCCTCAAAGGCCAAACATGGAGGTCATCCATGCAAGCTTTAGAACAACACTTGACAGGTTTATTCACCACTCCGGATCTGGGGATGACTGACGTGTCTTGCATGGGTGTAGTCATGGGAGTGGCCCCTAAAGAATACCTCTCCCTGCTAACACTCAAAGACCATGCTACCTGGCGAGAGCTCATGAAGGATCTAGTCAACCTAGAGGCCAAGGACCTCGCCAGGCGCAAGAAGGCGCCCGCTGCAGGTGGGAAACCACAACGCAAGCGGTTKGGAAGCAGCAACCAGCTTGCACTGCATGACCATCGGGAGGCTGAGGATCAGTCCTATGTGGATGATCTGTCTCTGGATGACGATCTAGAGCCGGACTCCGATGCGGGCTGTTCTGCATCAGCCATTGAGTGTGACAAAAATGAAGATGAAAAACTTAAGACTGCTTCAAATAAGGGGACTAACCGTGGTTCGGGTAAGGGAACAGTTATACACCTTCCCAAGAATGCTAAGATCCCTGAGAAACCGGAAGACGCTTCCACCAAACCTTGGGAAGCCCTCCGCATCAGCCAAAAAGAATGGGAAAGAAGGTCCAAACTGCGCATATGCTTGTATTGTCAAAAGCCTGGGCATGCTGTGCACGATTGCTATCGTCTTCAGGGAAACAGGCAAGGGGCATAGAGGAGTCATCAGCACTCTCTACAACAAAGGAAGCTGAGCAGTCAGTTGCAGGCCCTTCCGAGGAGCCTGAATCTGGTCAGCAGCTTGCTCTTGAAGCCCGAACTGATGCTGATTCCAAGGCTGGTGCAGTCCAAGTATTATACACTGGGCCTTGGGAGGAGTCTAGAGAAGTTGACCTCCACGCCCACATGAAGCATTGGCTGCAGCTCAAGCAGCAACGCCGTGTTCGGGGGAGCGTGGAGCTAACCTTCTTTAAACTACTCATTAACCGCCGATACATCCGTGTGCTGATTGACTGTGGTTCGACCACTAATTTCTTCTCTCCGAACGGGATTCGTAAGGCGGGCCTGGGTATGAAGCAAGTGGAACTGCAAAACCCTTGTCGGACTCAGGTGGGCAACCAAGAGGTTGTCACTTCCACTCATGCTGTCAAAGGTGTGCGCATCACCTTTGACAAAGATCGCACTGTCACACATGAGCTGAATTTTTTATGTCCTGGACAAATGTCCTTTCGACGCGGTCATTGGCTTGGGCTGGCTAAAGGCTCATTGCCTGAGAACCACGTGGGCAGACAACCAGTTTGTGGTACTTGACGCCAAGGGGAACGAGCGTACCGTCTTGTTAGATGAGACGCGCGAGTCCCCTGTGACTCTTCTMAGTGCTAACAAATTCTGCAGGTCAGCGCGCAAGCGCAAGGAAGCTGAGTTTGTACATATAGCTCTTGTAAAGCCTTTCCATGTGCCTTCTACTTTTGCTGCATTTTCTACCTCTGAAGGTAACTCTAACTTTACGACTTCTACTTCTGTTCCACCTACTTCTGCTGTAAATAATCAATCTAATTCTGATCCGAATGCCTCAAAACCGGTTATGATTGCTGTAAATTCCCAATCTGATTTTCTCTCSCCTGATGAGGATGATCCTCCACCCGAAATCCCAGCAAACATTCGCGTCCTTTTAGATCGATTCCCGGAAGTGTTGGCTGAACCGCGCGGAGTTCCCGAGCGTTCAGTCAAGCACAAAATCGAGATAATAGCAGGGAGTGTTCCTCCAAAGGGCTGCGTCTATCGTATGGGACAAGGCGAGTTGGAGGAGTTGCGGAGACAGATCGATGACATGATTGACCGTGGATGGATTAGGCCTAGTGAGTCTGAGTTTGGTGCCCCTGTCCTGTTTGTACCGAAGAAAGGAGGCAAGCTCCGAATGTGCATTGACTATCGTGGCTTGAATCGGATCACTAGTAAGAATGCGTACCCTTTGCCTCGCATAGATGATCTGTTGGATGCGGCCGGTGGTTGCAAGGTCTTCTCCAAGATTGACCTCAAGTCTGGCTACCACCAGATTGAAGTCGATCCGACTGACCAGCACAAAACCGCGTTCAAGACACGCGATGGGCTGTACGAATTTATCGTTATGCCCTTCGGCCTTACGAACGCACCAGCCACATTTCAGTCCCTCATGGACAAGGTACTCCGCCACCAACTTAACAGGTTTGTGGTTGTGTATCTTGATGATATTCAGAGTCATCAGCAAGGATTGGAAGGACTTCACTACCCAAGTCTATGACATCACACTAAACATGACGTCTGGTCGACACCCACAAGCCAATGGATTGGCTGAGGAAATCAACCAGACCGTCACCCAGCTGCTGCACGCATTGATTGTGCCAGATCAGAACACATGGGATAAGGACTTGCATAAACTAAAGGGGTTGTACAACAACTCCATCCATTCTGCAACCGGTGTGACACCAAACATGTTGCAGTATGGATGGCCAATGCGCAATCCCCTCTCCTACCTGTTCCCAGAACAGTCACCTGGTCTGATGCCCGACATGCCTGGCTACAATGCCAAGTACGCACGCTTGCTCAAAGCTGTGACCGCAGCCATGAACAAGCGCCAGCATGCCATGATCAAACATGCTAATAAGATGCGCAGAGAAGAGAAATTCAAAGTAGGAGATTATGTCTAGGTCAAAATGTCTGAATTTTCTGATGAAGAGGGCGTTTCATGGAAGCTTCTTCCACTATACTACAGCCCTTGGCAGATTCTGAAAGTGATTGGGGATGATTTCGGTCCTTCGTATGTGATTGACGTGCCGCCTCACCTGCGCACGTACCCAGCATTCCATGCCTCCAAACTGTTTCCGCACATTGATGATGAGACTTTTCCCTTCCGAGACCCTATGATACCTCGCCCTATCGATGGTGGCCATGAGATCGACAGAATCGTTTCTCACGAAGGGAGAGGGAGGAACAGACAATATAAAGTTCACTTCCTCTATCACCCGTTGAACAAATTCTTCTGGATCGACCGGAAAGAGTTGCTGAAGAGTGCGCCACGTGTTGTGAACGCATATGAACGACAGATTGTTGATGGACAGACCGCCAAGTTTGCTGCAAAACTCACTCCGTTTGGTCTCACTAACACTCTCCTTTTTATCTATGCCTACGACGCCTTTTGTACCGACTCTGACTGAGTTACTCGCTCGAAGGGACCTCGCTCTCGAGAGGGGAGTAATGTAATGACCTGCCAAAAACACAAACTGAAAACACTGCCGATTTTTGGGATTTGTCACTGGAATGGATGCCTTGTTGTGATTCCCGCATTCTGTTGTGGTTCCAAGTTTGTGTGTGTGCGTGCCTGCTGGTTGCATGCCTGTCTAAGTGCTTGCTGGTTGTGTGTGTGTGCGTGCATGCCTGTCTGAGTGCTTGCCGGTGGGGTATGTGTGTGTTTGACCCGCAAGGGTACTTGTTGGTTGCAAGGCCCACCGGGCAGGTACTTACCTGTGGCCGTGACTCTGGAGGGTTGCAGGGGGGTAAAACACGYCGGTAGCGGGAGGTAGGCCCACGGCACTTAGAGCAGCTGGGGAAAACACTCAAGTAGCAGGWAGGCCGAGCAGAAGAAGACAAAAAGTTGGCATTTTTAGAGGTCCAGTAGCSGTAGGTTGGGGGTAGGCCGGTACCAGTCCACGTAGCCCGGGTCTAGGGCCTGTGCGGACAATAACAGAGCCTGCAATGATGTTTCCCTCCAAAAGAGAGGAAGTACCGGTTGCCTGGGAGGCCGCTTGGCCTGGAAAGTCACCGCCCAGGAGGCCCGTAGGCCACTATATCTTCAGGAAGAGCGGAAGGCTCTTCCTCATTTGCGGTATGCAAGGATTGGCGACATGATGCTGGAGCGCAGCGCTGGTCTGAGGCAGCGCTGCTTGGAGGTGAAGGTCTGCTGGGGCTCAGCCTGGCTATGGCGAGCACCCCAGCTTGAAGGAGGAAGAAGGGGGACATGGTAGGAGAGTGGTAGGGCACTTACCTGGCTATGGTGGACACCGTCTTCATCACCTTGTTGGGCGCTGCATGTGGAAGGCCCCGGTTGGGGTAACGCTGCACCAGGGCAGCTAGAGGCAGGGTCAGGCATAGCGGACCGAGTCAAGCAGCGACATAGCTGCTTTGGGTTGTCTTTCGGGCATCAGGGCAGCATCATAGCTGCCTTCCAGTAGTCCGCCATGACCTATGCTTGAGAGAGGAGGTTGAAGGAAGGAAGACATAGCCATGGTGGACTTGTTGTTGTTGTTGTTGGGTTGTGAGTTGAGTCAGCAGTAAGGAGGAACTTCGGACATTGATTCTGGTTCATCCATTCATTGTTATTATTATTGTTGAGAGAAGAATAAGATTGGTGAAGAGAAGGAGGAAAGAGGAAGGTGGAGAGAGAAGGGGGAATTGTCATTGGTCTTGCTGGTGTACTTCTTCTTCTTCTTCTTCTTCTTCTTCTTCTTCTTTACCTCTCCTCTGGTCTTTATCTCTTGCAAGTGCTTTCATTTCATTCGCAATTGGGTGGCATTGTCTTTCATTGTGAATTTGCACTTGGGAAATGACCAGGATCGTAACAGCAGAATGTTGTTTGTTTTTTTGTGTTTTTTTCTTCTTTTTTTTTTCCCAATGATGTACTACTGCTACTCCAAGGCTCGGCAATGATCGGGGTACCACCACGGACTTGAAAGCTGGGCGAGGTACTGGTGGTTTAAAGGTGCAAAATTGCACGTTTTTTTTCTGTGTGTGTGTGTGCACGCGTGCGCGCGCGCGCGTTTGTGTGCGTGTGTGTGTGTGTGTGTGTGTGTGTG